TTTGTGTTTCTAAAAGTTTATGTTTATCGACGTTTGTTNAAATTGTTGCAGTAACGAACGCAGTGGATTACGGTGAGGTGTCGTTAAAAAAAAGGGCAGTTCAAGTCGGTATAAGTAAATCCCATTTACAAAGAATTTATCGAGAAAATAAAATATTGCCGTATAAACCAAAATTTAACCACACTATCGAATTAGGTGATGAAGCAAAACGTTTAGATTATTGTTTGTGGCTGGGGTACAAAATTTTGAAAGACAGAACTTTTTTAAAAAACATGATATTTTCGGACGAAGCAGCGTTCACCACTAATGGAGTGGTTACATCACAAAATTGTCGATTCTGGTCAAAGACTGATCCACATTATCGCATAGCTTGTAAACGCCAGTATTCCCAGAAAGTAAATGTATGGTGTGCTGTTTCGTGGGACGGTGTTATTGGACCTTACTTCATAAACGGCAATTTGAATCAACACCAATATTTGGAAATACTAGATACTATTGTTTATTTAATTATCTTCACGGCGTGGATTTAGAAAAACGCAATAAATTATATTTTCAACAAGATGGTTGCGGCCCACATTCCATTTTAATTAGAAATTTGTTAAATACGTTATTTGGAAAAAAATGGATTGGTAGATATGACCTGCACCATGGCCGCCAAGAAGTCCGGATTTATCTATTATGGATTTTTATTTTTGGGGTTATGTAAAACAAAAAGTGTACACTGAAAATTTTAATAACAGTTTAGACCGTTTAAAACAAAAAATTGAAACTGTTATTAGAGAAATTGCGTTGGACCATGTTAGAAAAAGTTATAAACAATTTCGGAAAAGGGCGGAATTATGTGTTAGTGTCGTTGGTGGTATCATTGAATAAGCTTTTATGTTAATTTAGTTTAGATCGAAAATGTTTTGTTAATCGTATGATGTAAAAATCTGCAGTTTGCTTTTATATCCTAAATTAATAAAATTAGGTATATCGCTATAACTTAACATAACAAACATTTTATCTTAATCAACTTTTGATGTACATTGCTCAGAAAGACCACTTTACCTGCAACGGTTAACAAACTTCTTGCGTTAACTTTGGTACTTTGAGGACATTTGACGTAAAACTTGGTTATATTTCGTTTTATGACATCCAGACTTTAATTGCAAAAGATGGAATTTGAATTCAAAAATTTATCGTCAATTATACCTTACGGGGACACAATCCGGGGACACACTGTATATTATACCTCTAGTATAATGGATCTTTTAAAACATAATTGTTGTAGTACCAGCATATTTCATTATTTTTATATTGCCGATTCCTACAACAATTACAGTGTCCTGTATGTGATGTATTATTTGTTTGTATTTGTAATGTTAAATAATAATTTATTTGTGTTTCTAAAAGTTTATGTTTATCGACGTTTGTTTGTTGTTGTTTTTCTACGGTTTTTAGCAATGATTGACATGTCAGTGTCAAATCGTTCATTGACATCAGTAGTGTGTCAAAATTAATTTTGTTATGCGACTGTGTCGGGAGTGTAGAAGTGATGGTGGTTCTTATTCGATTTGGCTGAAAGAGAATTTGAGAAGAAATAGAAGGAGTGTGAGCTATGGCGTCCCAAACTTTACAAGCGATCGAAAGAAGATTGGTAACATCGTCTTTTCCAGAGGATGGCTACTGATATAATCTGAGGCAACTTTCTTTTCCACAGTTTAAGTAACAAATTGGGGGTCACGACTTGTGATCCTCCAATTTGGGTATCTGATAACAGATTATCCAGACGCTTCTCTTCGCTGGAAGATAACCGTTCTATTAATAGTTTCTTCAGCGAAGAGTAAGGTGCTTCTTCTGGAGGGTTTTGTATAAAATGAATTGCTGTTGTAATCGTTTCCGCGGGTAAATTACTTAATAAAATATTGTATTTCGCCTTTTCACTTATTACGCAGACTAGTGTGAATTGCGCTTCGACTTGCGCAAACCAAATTTCAGGATGATCGTTATTTTATCATATACAATATTTGAATTTATACAATAAATATTTACACAATATTTTCTACTATATTAACTTGTTATATTTTTAATTTGTTATTTTTGTTGTTTTTTTAAGTTATATAACAAATCATTTATTAAAACAATTTTACACGGCACACTACAGAGAGACATAACGTCATAAAAATATCAACGTTATAACTCGTTTAAAAATGACGAAAAACATTTAAAATCTATACCAAAAACCTGCAAAAAATTTAAATCTAGATCCGTTTCAGGGGTTTTTTTATAAACCGTTTATGATGATTTTATCGTTTATAGGGGATATACTTTACAGACGCACTGTTTAACGAGATTTATATAATGAGGTTTGTTTGCAAATGAACCTAGCTACATTGTTCAGGAGAGATTCGGCTCTACGCTGGGGAAACCGACACTACTATACGTGCCCAAAGTCAAAGCCCCTCATTTTAGAGATCGATATCTTTGCAACCGCTCGGTGAAAAAATCGCGATAAAGTTTGTTGTAATTACTCAACATTTCTATGTAACAAGTGTGAATTTAAAAATGTTCGGCAACCCGGTTTTCTTTTTATCGCAAGGGAAATGAAAATAGTACCCGACTTTTGATGGTGCCGCCAACTTTGTACACTTTGCGACTTTTTTTCTCAAAAGCTATTTGTAATTAGCCTGGGGGGTTAGTTTTGATACAGACTTTGTATATTACTTCTAGAGTTTGTAGCACCTATATCCTCTGCATCAGCGATATTGGTATAAGTTTTATTGGGTTAAGTCGTCCTATTTTGTCTGTTACACTGAGAGAAATAGATTGTACGAATCGTATTGTAGAAAAAATATTATACATGCAACAATTCATTGTATTATATTCATTATATTTATATGCTTCATTACAATCTGGTCTCGCTATCACTAACGTATTACATATTATATTAACTTATAGTATATTTTTAGTGCATAGTACAATCCATTTTTCTCAGTGTAAGTGTATTTTTAAAGATTATGTGATTTGTTTAACCCGTATCTGCTATTATAAGAATTATGTTAAGTTCTTCCCTATTGCTGCCTATTATGACTGAACGTCTGTATCCAAAGTTTAATTCTGTTATTTGGTAAGCCACATTAGTTCTTTTTTCGCTATATCGTTTATTAAACATGTCTGATTATATCAATTCCGCTATGTTGAGGTGCCATCAAAAGTCCTGGATTGAATAGGACATGGCAGTGATAAACAAAACCTAGCTTTTCAAAAGTTATTTGATATACTCTTTTCATTAAAATCATATTTCATTAACCAAAAAACCCAAAAACGAATATAAAACGACAACTTTTGTAGTATCTATTATTAATATTTTATTATTCCGACTGTTTATTTAATTAGCTAACCATTCATTCAACGCTATCCTAACTCTTATCGAAACGAGTCGCAATAACACGTCATACATGCGTGGCTTCACTCACAATAAATAAAGATCTTGACACCAGCTGTTACATTTTTTAATAATTAGACGTTAAGTATTAACGTTAAGATTAAAATCAACAAAATGTTACACATGTAATTAAAAATTATAAGTACGAAGGCTTTCACGGCTGGTGTTAATTAAACTAAAACTAGAACTTAAACACTAGCACTATCACTAGAAGGAACACTAGACCTTTTGAAAAAATGTTTAACGTTTCGGATGCCATATTGCAACCTTCTTCTGAAAAAAGTGGTCGTCGAAGTTCAAGTCGAAGTGGTCGAACAACTTCACAGAAACCCGAAAGTTTCTAGTTGTAAGTCTAGTGTTAGTTCTAGTGATAGTTTAATGTTATTGTAAAAACTACAAAATTTCGCCTTGATATAACAAATATTAATTAATATTACTTTATATTATTAAGTTATTTGTATAATTCTAGAATAAAAATATAAAATGAAGCCTTTTTGAACTCCAATATGTTAACAATGAATCACACCTAATATTTAAGCTATTTTAACAAACAATAATATTATTTTATGTGTTAAGGTGGTAAAGCCGTGTTTTTTTAATCCAAACTTCGCTGAAAAATGAAATAAATGACGCGACGACATACAATGTTCGTCAAAAAGTTGTTTTATTTCATTGCGTTTCTGAAATTTTGTTTATTTGGAATGTTTTCCCCGATCTTTCGATCTAATAAATTTTCAAGATGGTCACAAAAGTGTTATTTTAAATTGAATGTTCTGGTTTGTATTACATATTCAAATACAATATGCAAAAATTGATTGATTTTGATAAGGATTCTTGATATCTAGAGCTTTTTGTTTTTCAGTTATTTTAATTTTCATTGTTTTAGCAGCAGTTATTGATGTGTTTTTTTAAACCTGAATTCTCTGCCACTGCACAACCTACAAAATTGAAAATTTGTATAAATACGCTTCACATGTTCAGAATTAACCTAAATTAAAACCTTAAATAAAACCTTAAACCTTAATTAGTTATATCGGTGTATAAGATAGTCAAAAATTGAAGTAGATATGATATTGCTCAGTGAATTAGTCCAAAGATCTACAACTCTATCTGATAAAGTAAAGAAGCGTAGTATAAGAGCGGTCCCGGCTCTTAATCAGATAAAATCATTCACTTCCTACTTCAATCAGGCCGCTTGATGCCGAGGCGCTACAATATCATACATGTCGAGGTTCTCCAGAAAAACGTCACATATCAAATTCGACTAGTGGCAACTCCAGGTTATGAAACAATCCTTGCAAGAAAGTTGACTTAAAAAGTTGATTATAAGATAAGTTGACTTTAATAATGTACATTTATCTTGTGTATGTATTTCTTTAAGTTGTGACATTATTCTTGAATATTTATACTCAATCTAAATAATAAAGCGGATCTAAAACGTATTTTTCTGTAATTGTGTCACTTTTGTTGATACTTAAGAAATAGAAATTCATTTTAAGTCGTAAAATTTTTAATTCTTTCACTTTTCTTGAGCAAAATTTTATTAAAAAATCAACTTTTCAAAATATGAACAATGGAAAATTGGCAAGCAGCATCGTTTAACGAACGGACTAAACTATTGCTGAGACTATCAAAACAAATAAACGATAAAAATAATGTTATTCAAAATGAAACGAGTTCACAACTATTGACAATAAGTAATGAAAATGATGTAACAAAGAGCAATGTGAACAACGATGAGAATACAAATCTAGCTATAAGTAACGTTGAGACTTTTTTAGCGATTCCAGATAACCCAACAGTTACCAGCTCTGAAACTGGAACTTCATCTGGTAGTGATCACTATTCACAATTTGATGATTCGGACTCAGACCTAAATTACAGCTCCAGTTCTACGTCATCTTCAAGTAGTTCGAGTAGCGATTCTGATGAGGGCCTCTCTGCAGATGAATCCTTGGCAGAACAGCCTGTTTTACCAAATGAAACAGCAGAAGTCAATTTAGAATATAAACAAAAAGGCAAGAAGAGAAAGGCAAATCCCGACAAATGGAAAAGAACGTTGCAAAAAAGGAATTCTGGCTTGAAGTATACATCTAGTTCCAAACGTAAAAAAGTTTTTAAAGCTAAAAATTTAGAACCGCTGTGCAGTCCAAAATGCAGACTGCAGTGTAGTGCCAAAATCACAGGCGAAGACCGAAAGGCAATTTTTTCAGATTCTGGAACTTGGGTGATTTACAAAGACGTGATTTTATTTTGAAAAGTGTTGAAGAGATTAATCCCAAATATCAATATAAACGAGTACAGAGTAATCGAACAAAGAATCATGCATTTTATTTTACGATTAATGCATCAAAATATAGGATCTCCAAATTTTTTTTTCAAATCCACATTAGCGATAACAGACAGGCCAATCAGAACTATATTTAAGAAGCAGACATTTACTACTAAGGGAATGATCATTTCATATCAGCGAGGAAAACATAGTAATCATTACCAAATTGACGACGATGTAAATTATTGTAGGAAGGATTCTAACCTAGAATACATCGAAGGAGGAAAAACAGTGGCCCAACTCCATAGAGACTATGTAGCGATCTGTAAGGAAAATAATAAATCATATGCAAATTACTTAATGTATAGTAAAATTTTCAACATCGAGTTTAAAATATCTTTTTTTTTGTCTAAAGAAAGATCAGTGTGACACTTGCGGTTCGTATGAGCTAGCTTCAGCAGAAGATAAAAAAATATGAAAGAAGAATATGACACTCATTATAACACATAAAGAAAAAGATAAAGGAAACAATTTAGACAGTGTTGTTGCAGTGTATGATTTGCAAGCAGTTCTTCAATGTCCCAGAGGAGACGTGTCCAGTTTCTACTACGTTTCCAAATTCAATGTCTTTAACTTCACTGTTTATGAAGTGAAGTCAAAGGCAGTGAATTGGTGTTTTCGAAATCGGAACATGTGTTTTGAATTATTTGGAATCTTTAAAAGACAGAGCTAATACCAAGAAGTTGGATGTGATATTAAAATCATTAAAGCTGAAAAAGAACAACCAGATAAACTGTTCTACAAAACGTCTTATGGTGAAGAGCAATTTTATATCATTCAAGTAAAGCAACCAAGAAAATCAAGTAACACAAGAAAATCAGAAAACACCGTTAGTGACACTGTCGTAGAATTGAAGAGAATATATAACACCAAACCTGCACTAAGTGAAAAAAAAGACAAGTATATTAAGTTTATTTTCTCAGAACAAATCAAAGAAATCTGTTGTTCCGCAGTATCGCTTCATTATTTCAAAAATTTGTAATTAAGAAGATAACAATAATAATGTAATATAGTTTTCATTTGACTTGTGCTATAAGCTATAATTGTGTCTCTTAACCCTTAAACCGACATGCGAAGTCTATCAGATTCCTTAGTATCTTTCAACTTAAATATTTTTACAAATATTTAAGTTGAAAGATTAGCGCTTCTAGGTACTTTTCGACAGTTATATTACGCATTGCCTGACCAACGCGCGACAGTCGGTGTATAATCTTCATTGAGTAATTACGTGTTTAACTTCCTAATTTAACTTCTTTAAGTTTTTTAATGAGTTCGTATGAGTTTTTTATCGTATGTTTGAGATTGTGTTGGAAATGTTGAAACAGAAAACCTTGTAAAATCTTTGCTATTCTATTGGTTGGGGTATTGGAGTTGGTAATAATAGGCCTGATACTGAGAGTTGGGACGAGAGGGTTCATTTCAAGTGAGTGAAAAGTATTAATCTTAAAACTATGTAAATAGGTTAGGTTGTCTTTGATAAACTTTCTAAGTTTGTTATTGAATTTTACTGTGGGATTAGTTTTGATTTCCTTTATGTTGTTATCATGGAAGAACTCTAGAGTCTTGGAAATGTAAGTATCTCTGTTCAATATGACAGTTCCTGCACCTTTATCGCCCAAAGTTAGCAGAAGGTCGTTGTTTTTTATTTTGGATTTCAGTTTTTTGATGTTACAATTGATATTTCTCTGATTCAGTTTATTACAGGTTGTACGGGATGAATTGTTGGCACACTTCGTTATTATGTCGTTATTATCCTGCATTCTCAAATTTTTTGTTTGGCCAGAACCCCAGAAACGTCTAATGACCGGTCTCGCTGAGACACCCTGTATATACTGGTAAAGACAGCGATGGCAAAACATTAGAGCAAAAGCGACTACCAATACCATGCCAGTCTGTAATCAGACTCAGTAAATCTATATATGGAACCAACAGAAATATAATGGCAGACATTTGGTTTTCGTCAATGCCTTTAATTTTATTGTAGAATTGTAGAAAAAGGCAGCTTACGTTTGTAGGAACGATGAGAAAAAACAATGCTGCTATTCCAAAAGAATTTTTGCCAAACAGACGTCGAATGGTAGATACATCCTTATTTGGATTTCAAAATGATTTAACTATGGTATCATTTGTTCCTCGAAAAAGTAGCGCCGTAGTTCTTGTTTCGTCTATGCACCATACACTAGAGATAGACGAAGCCACAAAAAACCAGAAATCATTATGTTTTACAACATGACTAAATGTAGCATCGATAGTATGGATCAAAAAATTGCACACTACACGTCAAACAGAAGGTCACTTCGATGGCTATTGTGGTTTACCCTTTTGGATATAAGTGGAGTGAACAGCTATGTTCTTTATAGCTCATATAAGGGCATTAAGGCAGGAAGCCGACTGGATTTTATAAAATCATTGGCAAAGGCATTGGTGCATCCATTTTTAGTACAAAGATCAGAATTGGCTAATATACCTCAAGCTTTGAGAATAAATATGAATCATACAATTGCCTTTAGAAGAGAATATTAGTACTGGAAATGCCGAAGCGAAACTTGCGACCTGATAATACTGTGGGATATGTCCACCACGAATTCGCAGAAAGACAGCTTATGTATGTGTTTGTTGTACATACAAAGCCAATCTGTTTAAGTCATGCAAAAAAAGTTTGACAACTATATAGCCAGAAGGCAGTCTTTGTAAAAAATTGTTTTGTAAATTTTTATTTCGGTTTCTAAAATAAAGTGTTTTTCATCAAATTTTTTGTTTTCTTTGGTAATTAAACATATATTTTGAAGTTTAAGTACTTTATAGAAAATAATCTAGGTTTAAATAATTGACAAACAAATAATAACAGCAGGGAGTCTGTCAGACTCCGCATGTCGGTATATGTTCCAAGAAAAGCGCGTGTCGGCTTAAGGGTTAACTTTAACCACATGTAGCCCATTACATTATGAAATCGTTACAAGCAAAGATACGTGAAAAAATTCGCATACATTTTGGTTTTTTTTACATACACGTAAGCAGTACACTTTCAAACCGTTCAAAATATCAATTTTTGAGATATATCACTTTTCTTGTGTCCCGACGATATAATAACCAGTTTCAGATTATCATATTGGAACACTAGGACAAGCGGTAGAGGCTTGATCAGATAATATCATAGACTTCAGGTTAATATAATATTAATCACCCAATCTCAGCGCACCGTATACGAGATACGCGAAATTTTTTGGCTAATTTGATTCCAAACCATTGGATTGGACGGCCATGCTATTTTTTTCTTTGAGGATACCTTAAGGGGATATCAACCATCTTGAGAACATTATAAGGTAATGTTGTCGAAACATATCTCTAGCAATGATAAGAAACCCATCCCGCAAAGTAAATTATCGAAGCAATGTGTGAATAGGGAGAGACGGAGATCACGTGTAATATTTCAATTTTATTATTTACACCACATATTTATTTGTATTAATTTATTTTAGTTAAATGTTTAAAAGTTTGTAGTAAAAATTGATTGCTTTTTTGTTGTTTGTCGTTGTAGTTAATTTTGTTTCATAAAAAAAAGGAACAAGAAAGTTAGTCCTAATTAAAAATACTTGTTCATTTAACAACAAGGCTACCTATATTACTAGCTTTAATAATTTGTCAATCACAACAAATTGCACAAAGAAGAACAACTACTAAAGAATAAATCAATTAAAAATTACGTTCTTCAAAATTACATAAGTTTAATAATTTGTATTTATCTCAAAATTATTAAGCATGTAATTTTTTACTACATTTATTTATAGATTATTTAGATAATAAAATAAATATACTACATAAATAGATATTTCTGTTTATGTAGTAGTATGCTTTTTTATTTAGCGACTCTTTTGTACACAAAGAATAAACTCTTTTGAACCGTACACCACTGGTCCAAATTACACGGGTCATAAACTATAAAAGAGACCACCGATCGTTGAAAATAAATACTTTGAAGTCATATAACTTTTATAAAAACCCACAAACTAATCAACAGTTCTCTGAAAAAAATTTAAATACATTTTACGCTAGTAATTTAGAAACTAATTAAACACATTAAAAAACAAATATTGACGAAACAAACATTTCTGAAATAATAAATGTATGTGAAATTAAAGTTGGAATATAAATTTACATCTAGATTCGCTGAAATAAATTTAATTGTGATACTTGAAATTTTTTAATTATGTTTGTCTTCAATGTTAAATTCTCTTGTGTCTCAATGTTCAAACTTTAATTTCCGACTTTAGAGAAACACTTTCAAACTTGTACAATTCTAATATAAATTAAACTTCTCATGAGACGTTTCCAAGTTTTAAGCGATCAAATAATTTAGATAAAATGTAATTAATTTTAAAATTTCACGAAAGCTTATTATCTTTTATTTACAATAAGGTACAGAAAGGAACAAAATTATAATAAAGACTCACCAAATTTATTGCGATGATTTTTTTCTCAAAATTCTTGTGAATAAATGAAAAATGTTCGTTTCAAGACGGAGCTCTCATGTCAGTTTTTAAATTTGCACGTTATCACCACAAATCGGTAAATTGTAGATGTTGGAGAACGGATTGGGGAAATCGAAAAGGGATAAAAGGAAACAACACTGACCAGCTTTGCTGAACGATAAAAGGAGTAAAATACTAGAAGAAAGTCGCAAGGCTTTTTCGATTTAGATTCTCCGAATCTTTCTCCCCCAGATTTTCGTGGATATCTCAAAAACCTTACAGTTTCTTTTAAAAACTGGACGCACACGATCTAACCGATTACGATTTTCTCTCAACCGTTACGACCAACTACACCGGGGGAAGTGTCAGGCGTCGCGACGCCCAGTGTCCTTCGGCACCATCAACGTCGACGCCGTCCCAAAAACACTCCGCATGCGCAACAAGTATATTTTATAA